AGGGGAAAAATGAGGACCTAATGCCGGGGGTTTAAGTGGAGAGAAAATGTTTTGAGAATGATGAGGGCAATGAATGTACAAATGCGCTTTACATAATTGATGTGTGTATGGATTGTGATTAGAGTTGTATGAGCCCCTAATAAAATGATTTTTTTTAAAAAAAGAGAGATCAGATGAAAAAAAAAATCCAATGTATTTTCCACTGTCTTGCTTTTCATCTTTATTTCCCGGATTCATCAGGAATAGTATCAGAACTTGATCCAAACGTCTGGGATTTCATACCTGACAGTGGAGTGGTTGCATCTCCTTCTTTTGGGGGCAGTAAAAGCATCCTGGTGTTGCCAATTCAGGGGCTCTAGTGGCGAGTAGTGCATGCACTTGGGGCTGCTACCTACAAGGTCAACAGTTCAAACCCACTAGCTGCTCCATGGGAGAAAGAGGAGGCTTTCTGCGTCTATAAAGACTTACAACCTTGAAATCCAAAGGGACGGTTCTACTCTGTGCTACCGGAGCAGTATGCATCAGAACCCACTTTGTAAAAATGAGTTTGCTCGTTTTGTGTGTTCCCAGTTCAGGGAACCACATACCTTTGTCAATGCCATCAACTGAGCCCAAATCCTTAGACCATCTTGGACCCCTCTTCTCCATCATCTCCCACATCCACTCAACCATTACGGCCTGTTGACTCTCTGTGTCTCTCAAGCTGCCCGGCTCTTCTTCCCTCTCCATGCTCAGCTCCACGTCAGCCCATCAGCTCCCCTTTGAAAACGGAAGACAGTGGTTTCTCTGCCTCTGGTTTGCCCCCACGCCCCCAGTGTTGTATCTTTCTATTACTGTCAGACACCCAAACTAGTTGACATGGAGTCAACTCTAACTTGTCAGAAATAGATGGCTAGACTTTTCTTCCAATGTACCTTTGAGTGGACTCGAACCGCCAAGCTTCCGGTTAATAGTGGGTGCAGGAATTGTTTGTGCCACCTTCTCTACAGACAGAGGGCTTCCAAAATTCTAATCTGGCCATGTCACCATCCTATCTTAAGTCCTCGGTGGTCTGGCCCAGCACGATGCGGGCCCTGCCTCTCCCTCTAACCTCTCTTCCCTCACTCCCATGACCCCCTGCTCTAGCAGACCCTCTCAACTCTGGTCATGTGGACCTGCTTGTAGATTTTGGATCAGCCACCAGTGTGATCTCTTCTTGAAGTCTCTTGCCTTCCTCTCTTTGTGCGGCAAGCCTCCATCTGATTGTCTTCTCCACTTGCACCTGTCTCCTAAGAGTGTCCTTCTGGAAACATCCAAGGTGGTCTGTTCTTCATTCTCTCAGACCCTTGCTTGTTTCCTTTATAGCCTGCATGCACAACTTACAATGAGTTCATTGTCTACTCACTTTTTGTTTTACTTTGTTTGGTTTGCTTGTCCCCACCATAGAACTCCATGAAGGCCTGGATAAGACTGGCACATTCTTCATAATTGCTGTAGTGCCTGGTACCGTACTAGCACATGGGAGATCCTCAATAAAATGATTGAAGGAATGTGTCCAAAAAAGATAGCAACTGTTCTCATCCTGGGCCCCTCTTTTTGAATTAAGTCTCCATGTTGCCTAATTTCTCATCCCATCAGGGTGAGTCAGTGCCACCAAATGGCCCCATCCATGCCAACCTTGATGTTCTTCCCACCCTCTTCTAATGTCTTGTGAACTTACGTGTGATCCCATGACATTATTTTCTCATTAATATAGCCTCATTGCCTAACCTAGTGCCAAAGACATCCAACACCCAAGCCAATCACGTCACTTGGGACTCATAGCAACCCTTTCCAGGATTCTGAGGTTTGGTGAACATGGGAGCTGACAGCTTCATCTTTCTCCCTCTGAGTAGCTGGTGGGATTGAACACGTGACCTCATGTGTAGCAGTCCTATGCTTTTCCAACTGTGCCAATACAGGACCTCAAAGCTGATGTATTGAGTATAAGCCAATTTGAGTATATGAATAGAGATGCCAGTCACATAACAGTTGTTCCTGCCCGTATTACAGCAGGGCTAGATTTGAATAGTCTCGTAGACAAGCTGAAATAAAAGGCAATGTTGCTGCTGTCAGGTGGCCTCGTGTCAGTTCTGATTCATAGCAACCCTGTGTACCACCGACTGAAACACTACTTGGTCCTGTGCCATCCTCATTGTTGATATGCTTGAACCCATTGTTGTATCCACTGGGTCAATCCATTTGGTCAAGTTCTTCCCCTTTTTGACTGTCCCGTACTTTACAAAGCGCACTAACCTTCTCCAGGGACTAGTCTTTCCTGAGCACATAGCCAAAACACATGAGAAGAAGTCCAACAGCTCCTTGATGCTAAGGAGACCTCTAGCTGGACTTCTTCCAGGACAGAATTGTTCTTTCTTATCACAGCCCATACTTGCTATTCTTCGCCAGCATCATGATTCGAAATCTTAGATCTTCACTATGGATTGTCCAACTTTCATCTGCAGATGAGCCCATTGAACATACCATGGCTTGGGTCAGGCCAGGCATACCTTAGTTGTCAAAGTGCCAACCTTGCTCTTTCATATATATATATATATTCAACATTTTATACATTCGCCGATCAATTCTGTAAGCATACTTACTCAGGGCGGGATGCACGGAACTTCTAACACAAGGTTTTTCCTTTGGGTGCAGCCAAGGTGGGGCCGCCTCTCAACATCATCGTGGACACATTGAACTGCACAGCCATCCGAGTCCAGTGGAAAGTACCAAGGCATGCTGGGAGCCCCATCTCTGGGTACACTGTGAGTACCAACGTGGGGGACTTCTGCATTGAATGTGTTGGGCTAATTGTTCTTCCATTCTTGTTCTTCCTGTTTATAGCCTCTCCTCTACCAGCACTCCCGTATACCAGTTATATACATAATGTTCCTCCGTTATTCATAAGGTTTTCACATGGCTACCCCTCAGAAGAGGACAGCCATCCTTGCTTCCTAGTCTGTCTTTAATCTGGAAGTTCTGCTGAAGCCTGTTCACCATGGGTGAGTCTGCTGGCATTTGAAATACAGGAGGCATGGTTTTCGGCAATGTGGCAACACGCAAGCTACCCCAGTATGACAAACGGACAGAGCAGTGATGGATTTGTTATATCCACTTGTGTAATTGTGTACATAGTCATTAAATTTTGTCATTCTTGCTTTGTGAAACGAAAGGGGAAATAATCCCCATCCTAGGACATAAAAAAATGCCCTGGAAGTCACAGCTCTGTCAATTAGGATGAAAACATAAACCAAGTGGAGGACGTGATTTCCCCCCATCTAGTTATTCACAGTTTGATTTGTCAGATTTGGAGAACACTGGAGAAGCCTGGGAAAGAACAGAGAATCCTGGTGGCATGTCACCCCTACGACTCACCATGGAACATATGACCTAAAGGAGCCGGGCTGAGTGTAGGAGGGGACTGAGGGTGTGTGTCTACACAGCAGACGTAACAAAGGGGGGTGATTTCAGTTCACTGCAAGGTTGTGTTTGGACCAAGAGCTCTCAGGATGGTCTGTGGAGTTGCTGGGGTCTGGGAGCGATGTTAAGAGCCGGCCACACAGGACTCACATTGCTGTGGGGTCAACAACTCTGACCTAAGCTGCCCCCAGGGTGCCACAGACCACCAATCAATCCCATCTTCCTTCTCACCAAGGCCAAGGGACGTCGCCAATCACTGTGGCACAATTGTCTCTTTACTAGAAAAAGGTGTCTTTGAAATATGTCTTATCCAAGATGGGACAGGTAAAGATGACCTAAAGTTTCTATAGCTTTTGGGGGGAAAAGAAAAGCTTGGTCCACTATTTCTATCCTACTGCCCTGGTTCACATCTTCCCTCCACCTGGGCAGGCTGGTGTGCCTGGATCCCCAGTCTTGGTTGGAAGGAGGTGAGGTTTTGCCCCTCAGAACCTCCCCGTGGTTGACGGCGCAAGGAGAAGCACGTCCTTGCGTGTGCTGGAAGTGCTGGCTCTGCTTTCACCCTGGCCCTCTGCCTCTTTTTAAGGTGTTTTACTCGGAGGCGGACGCTGCTACATCTCTGCAGGAGCGGTCGCATCATGTGCCTCTCATCCACGACACACTGAGCACCGTGAGTGTTTCTGTCCAGGCTGCCCCTCAGGGGAGGAAGGAGAAAACACAACACCAAGAGCACCCAGGGGCTTGGTAGTTCAGGGGTCCTGGGGAGGCATTCTCATTTCGGAGCTGCTGGGTACGCACTAACAGTAAGGATGTGTGGATCGTCCTTCAGCGTTTACAGATGCCCTTCACGAACATTACCTCATAGCTGCCGTCTCTGCCCACAAACACGGACACCTGGAGAAAGAGTCCTGGCCAAATGATTGCATCCTTGACACAACGTCACTGTGTCAGTCTAGCACACAGGCTCAGTGTGGCTGTTAGCTTCCTTACTTGTGCCCTCCCTCTTTCCCTCCCCTCCTTCCCTCCCTCCCTCCCTCTGTCTCTCTCTCTCTTTCCTACTTCTCTTCTTCAGAGAATTCAAGTGTGATTTCACTTTTGAAATTCCGATCCATTCCATCGTGGGCTACAAATTGGGCTGCTAACTGCAAGGTCAGAAGTTTGAAACCACCATCCGCTCCACAGCAGAAAGATGCTGCCATCTCCATCCATAAAGAGTTCCAGCCTGTAAACCCACACGGGCAGCACTACTGTGTACTGTAGAGGCACTTTGTTGTTGTCTTTTTTGTTAGGTGAAGTCTAGTCTGCCCTAACTCATAGCGGCAGCATGTACAAACAGATTGAATACCACCTCGTCTAGCGCCATCTCACAATTGTTCTTATGTTTGAGCCCACTGTTGTAGCCGCTGTGTCAATCCATTTCATTGAGGACCTTCTTCTTTGTAGTTGCCCCTCCACAGTACCAAGCTTGGTGTCGTTCTCTAGGGACCAGTCTGTCCTAACAACAAGTCCAAAGTACATAAGATGAAGTCTCCAAATCCTTACCTGTGTGGAGCATTCTGGCTGTACGTCTTCCAAGACACATATTTCTTCTTTAGGCTGTCCACAGTCAGAATTGTCTCCATGGCAGTGAATTTGCCAGAAGATTGGTGGTTCAAACCTACCAGCCACTCAGAAGGAGGAAAGAATCTGCTGGCCCCCGTAAAGATTTACTTTCTATATAGTCACTACAAGTCAGAATTGACTTAAATAAAGTGGATCTACATATATGGAAAGATATACACTGTATGCATATATAAATACATATGTGAATATACAAGTATATATAGTCCTGCAGAGTCATTCTGAGTTGGAATCGATGCAATGGCAGTGGTCTTAGCAGCTCACCTGGACAGTTCTACCCTGACCGATAGAGTCTTCGTGAGTTGGATTTAACTCAGTGCCAATGAGTTTGGTTTTGAGATGTACATTTTTTGAACGGTGAAAATGGTTGACACAGTCAATGGCTAATTGGAAAGCTGGAGGTCTGAGTACACACATAGAGGCATCTTGAGAGAAAGGCTTGACCATTTACGTCTGAGAAATCAGTCCTTGAAGATCACTGCCATTGAGTCAATGTGGACTCACAGCGACCTCCTGTGGGTTCCAAGACTACACGTGTTCACGGGAGTCGAACGCCCAGTCTTTCTCCCTTGGAGCGGCTGGTGGTTTAGAGCCCCACCTGTCACCACAATATCACAGGACTCCTGGGTTCCTGAAACTCCCACAGGACACAGTAATATATCAAAATGGTGCGTATTTATTTCATAGCTATTATTTTTGTGATCCCCAAATGTTATATCGAAGTGCTTTGGGGTTCAACAGCCAACTCAAAGAAGTTTGGTGGTATATTTTAAAGTTTTTAAGGAGATCACCACCATGTGCACAAACCAGAACTACCAAATTGTGTGGATTCAACTACCGAATCCCTGGAAATATGAGGTCTTTCTTTTGGTTGAGCCGGAGCTGTCAAACACTCGCACAGACACCAAGGGGGCTGGGAACAAAGAAAGTAGAGACATCTCTGTGCTGTTTGCTGACATCAGGTAACTGGTGGATGCTGTTGGTATTCAGGGAGATCATGGTTGCCAAGCCCTTGACCTGATGTCAAAACTCGGTAAGTGCTCGGTTACCCTTCGGAATCCAAAGCTATGGGCCCGCTGTGTATCGGAGCAGGGGGAGGTGCTCTATCCGTTGATTTTAATTCTTCATGTCCCTTCTAGTTTGTTTGTTCCCCTTGCCGGGGACAAACGGATCGTGGGCAATTTTTCTACGTTTGTTTGGAACAAATGAAAGCCCTGCCTCCACCCACGATTCGGGGTCTCTTCTCAGCCCCATATTGATTTTCCTGCATCCCCCCAATACTGGGTCAGACTGAAGCAAGACATGCCATTTTGGGGTAAGCAGGGACTGCTGGGAAGACCAGGTGGAGTTCTAATCACTTAGAAATAAGCCTCTTTTATCCTCCAATGTGCCGCTTCGCCTCGCATGGTGGAGTAAGGTTAAGAGGAACAGCTTTTAAAGATTGAGGTAATTTAAGCTCTGCCTTGATACTCGGTGAAACCCATAGTAAGCAAAGTCCTTACACTAGCGAAACACCACTATTGGGGAAAATCCTGCCTCTTCTCCTTCACCCCCCCCCCATCCCTGCCCTCTTTTCCTTTTCTTACTCCCTCTAACAAGTCCCAACCCCAAAACTAAACTCTCTGTCAATTCCAGTTCATGGTGACCCCAGAGGACGGGGTAGAACTGCCCCTTATGGGGTTCAGAGGCGATAACTATTTATAAGAGTAGAAAGTCCCACTTTCTCCTCTGGCAGCGGTTCTCAACCTGTGGGTCTCGACCTCTTTGGGGTTTGAACGACCCTTTCACATGGGTCCCCCAATTCATAACAGTAGCAAAATTACAGTTATAAAGTAGCAACAAGTATCATTTTATGGTTGGGGGATTCACCACAACATGAGGAACGTTATTAAAGAGTCACGGCATTAGGAAGGTTGAGAACCACTGTCCTATCGGGTTACTGGTGGTTTCAAACTGCTGACCTGAAGGTTAGCAGACTACTGGGAACCATGCCCCTAGGGCTCCTCTAACAAGTCCCCAACTTTTCCTAGTAGACATGAGTTTCCTCTTTGCACAGTGAACAGATGCCTGGTCCCTGCTTTTCAGAGGCTCCTCTGACCGAGCGGCCCATGGTTTTTGGTGTCTAAGCATACAAGTTTATCAGAACACTAGGGGTTGAACTGTGCCTTACAAAATAGGTGTGTAAGTCCTCACCCCTTTACCTATGGTTGAGGTGCCCCGAGGCATAGTGGTTATCAGTTAGGCTGCTAAGCACCATGTCAGCAGTTCAAAACCACCAGCTACTCCTCAGGAGAAAAATGAGGCTTTCTACTCCCATAAAGAGGCACAGTCTCAGAAACCCACCGGGGAGGTTCGGTCTTGTCCTCTAGGATTCCTGTGAATCTGAATCAGCTCTATGGCTGTGAATTTGGTTTTTCTGTGTGTGTTTACCAATGGTTATTAGTCTGCTGGGAAATGGCTTTTCTTTAGATGTCAATGAGGCAGGCACACCAGTGAGGTGTGTCATAAGCCATTCTCTTTAAATATCTAAAAATAGAACAGATTGATTAATTGTGGTAGTTACATTTGTCAAGTTGAGGGTTCAATGTGTCAATTTGAGGATTCGAAGTGACGGGGTGGAGTTTAGTGTGTCAATCAGGTAGTAGCTTGATGACCTCATTTGGAGGCCCTAAGAAGATAAATAGCTCACTGGAGGCAGGGCACATACTCACTCCCTGTGATACATCCTTGTGGAGAAGACACATGGAGAGAGGCTGATGGAGCCAGACCTCTCGAGCAGGAGGAACCGCCACTGGATCCACAAGAATTCCCACCCACTGGCCTGTGATCTTCCTGTATTTGGCATCATTGCATATGTTTCGTGAGTCTGAAGAGGGCTTTATAGATTGGTATTAGACATATGGGCTAATATCAGACTTATGGACTTAATCTGGACTGGGCTGGGATGTTTTCTCGATACTCAATTGCTCTTGCACATAAAACTCTTTCTTGTACACATATGAGTGTGTCTATGAATTTGTTTCTCTAATCTACCCAGACTAACAGAGTCATCAACCAAACAAGGAGCCAAGAAACAAAAGATGAAGAAAGACGGATTCTTTCCCCAGAACCGACCAAATTGGAAAGTGTTTCCTAGTGTGGGAACCTTAGGTTTGGACTTGTCGCCCCCTGACCTGGTAGAAAATACGTTTCTGTCTGTTAAAGACACCCCAGTATTTCTGTGACCGCACCACTAGGTATCTAAGACACAAACCACAAACCCCAAATTATAATCACACCAACAAGTTGTATTTACGTTTCTCTCAGGTAAACTGTGTGGATACAAGTGGGTTGGGGTTTTATGGTGGCTTCCAAGTTCCAGGGTTCTGTCACTGTTCTATAAACAATCTGAGTCTCTTCCCCACAGTCCAGAAGGACTCACTGATATGTTCACACTCTTGCTAATAGATGGGGGATGGGGAATGGAAGCATACCCCTTTCTCTCCAGACTTTCTTTCAAGTCTCACTGGGCAGAATTTAGTCACATGGTCCTACCTAACTACAAGGGAGGCTGGGGACTCTGGTCTTCCAGTGCTCATGGTCCAACTGAAATATAGAAGCTTAAGAGTCCTGATGGCGTAGTGGTTACTAGTTGGGCTGCAAACCACAAGACCAGCAGTTCTAAACCTCCAGCTGCTCTGCAGGAGAAAGATGAGGCTTTCTACACTCATAAAGAGTTACAGTCTTAGAAGCCCACAGGGCAGTTTGATCCTGCCCTATGGGGTTATCATGAGTTAGAATCCACTCAATGACAGTGAGAGTGAGTGAGCTTCTCTTTATGAGGGTTCTGTTTTCTCCAGCTCTTAGGTGTCCTGGTGGCAGTATCAGATAAGCCATAGGCTGCTAAAAGCAATGTTGACAGATCAAATCCACCATCCACTCCTTGGTAAAAATGGAGACTATAAATATTTATAGCCTTGGAAACTCCTATAAAGGGTTGCTATGTGTTGATTGGACTCTGTGGCAGTAGATTTGTTTGTTGGTTTTTTATTGTGTCCTTAGGAAAGCCTG